AAACGGCGTAACCCTGAATAAGCCGCCGAATAAGCCAGTACCAGATGGCCGAATTCTTTTCCAGCTATCTACAGCACAGAGAGTAAAAGAGCCTTCGCCCTTTGTAATGCGAAAAGCACTATGCGCAAAGATTGATAACCTCANTCTGCAAGATATCCCAAGACTCACAACGACAAAAACAGGCTGGGCACTCACACCAGCCAACGACACTATCAAGAGCCGACTACTGCAGCCAGACAACGTCGAAGTCATGCTAGAAACTCTAGGTGCAGTCGGATTCCAGCTCCCGGAGAAATGGATCAACTACGCAGTGCAGCGTGTAGAGGCGGCTCTNATAGGACTCCACATAGGCGGAGATGCAGCAGTACCAATCAGCGAAGAAAATGTTGCAGAGGAAGTTTATTCCCAGACAGGAGTAAAGCCGCGAACCTGCAAGCAATCTAGACACGGCCCAGACAGGTTTGGCACGATGACTTGGATAATATCCTTTGCCGAACGAGTGCGACCATTCCGGATTTTTGGAACAAGTGAATGGGCAAAAGAGATAAAGAAAAACCCGCCAGTGGCCATCCACAACCCAGGATGTCAGGGTTACTGCAACACGTCTAGGTGCACGCGTGCAGCACGCTGCGACAATTGCGGCCAGCTGGCGGTAGGGCATAACGGGCCCATAGGTACAGGCTGTACGCAGCGAGCCCGCTGTGCTAACTGCCATGGACCACACGCCGCGACGGATAAAAACTGTCCAGCGAAACCATACTATTACCAAGGCAAACTTATGCGGCTAACAAGCAAGCAGCTGCAGAGTGTACGCAGAGCTGGACATCGTGCCTACCAAAGAACTGGCCAGAACCAGGACAAAGGAGACACGGCTGCCGAGCCTATTGTCATCGCAGAAGAACAGCTAAGCCAAAACAGTCCACTTACGCTCCAGCAGCCGCCACTGNGAGCTACGCAATCAAGACAAGCAAAAAGAGCCCAACAAGAAGAGACANTAACAGGAACAGATACCGCTACAGCCACAATCACGCCTATAGACACTGATACAATTATAGTCACAA